ACCTAAATACTAGAAAAGTCGCCTAAAACCGAGGTCGCCCTAAAACTACGAAAAATTTTCTTATTGGGTGGCTAGCCTAAATATACGAAAAATCGCCATGGAAAATATTTTTTAGGGTTAGTTTTTAACCCAGTCTTTTTGGGATTAACCCCAATCTGGGGTTTCATGAGTCGACTCAAAGTAATTCCTTCTTTTAAGGGCGGAAATCGCCCTAAAACGCAGAACAAAATAGCCAAAAATATGTTCTGAAATTGCCCTAAAAACAAGAAAAAGTCAACGGAATTCTAAGACGCAATTAATGGATACATTTTTTGACTGTAGGTCAAAACAAGTGAATGTGTGTGTATATTAGGGCGGACCTTTTTCTATGAATTTTGTAAGCACATTTGATTTCTTCTTCCTTTACTTTTCGTCCGTTGCAGTGCCAAGGGTGGGGGTAGAAAGAGTTGGATTGTCTAGACTTTGTCATAATTTTTCGGGCGCTTGGCAGTGAAAGACGTGTTTGTATGAAACCTTTTGTTTGTGAAAAAGTGAAAAATGTAAACGCTATTAAAGGACTTGGGAGGCGATTCTTTCTCAGTTTTCTGGTGAGTACATACATATATAATTGTGCAATTTGGATATTAATAACTAATTGAATTTACATATCTGTAACAGAGGAAAATGCAGCTGAAACTTAAAAAGATTTGACTGGAAGCAGCGGTCCAGATGTAGAGGTTTGGAAGTGTGGCAGAACAAAGTAAGAACATTAACAAGAGTATATACATATGTATGTGTATATGTAAATAATGCTTAAGGTAAAAGATGATGCAACAGAATACACACATTTTTTTTACAGATGTATATATTTGCCAGAAATCTGTATTTATGCACCGGACAAACCGCATTCACAAGTGCATATGCCAAAATAACCCCCAAATTTCTATTGCGTCATTTCGTCAGTAACCGAAATTTGCTTTTGTTGCTTCTTTTTTCCAGAAGTAGCAGAAACGCAATCGCAGGCTAAATGAAAATTTTGACTGTTAGTAGTGCATTTTATATTAATTTCTAACAATTTTTTTCTTGTTTTAGATTGAGAACGCAAACCACTTTTCGCACTTTTTAAAAGTAAGGGAATAAAACTGCTCAAATCTTTGGAAAGCCACGCTGAAGGTATGTGCTTTTTCTCTTTTTCTTTTCTCATTCAATAAACAGACTGTTTTTATTTAATAGAGATACAATCAACTTTAATTTGGCTTGCGATCCATTCAGTGTTGGTGCGACAGCAATGACAAAGAAGGACGGCGGGAGCAAGAACGCGAAGCACACCATTGCGGACCCGCGAAGCCGTTTCTTGGTTTGGAAGGCTACTGTTGGGGAACTGCAAACACATCTAAAGGCATTGACGGAAAATTGCAAATCCGGAAAGCCGAAACTGCAACCATTCAGCTGCAACGTGGGAACAAGCCCTTTTTGACCTTGGTGAATTTCCAGTTTACCTATCAGAGGTTTTTTTATAGAATGCGAACCTTATTGAAAAGTATTGATGTGTGCTTCAAAATATTTTTGTTTTAAACCACCATATATCCAAAAAATGTTTTATGAAATTCATTTAGAGTCTGATAAGAAAGGTAGAGCTTTATCCGAACTCTTGGAGGATTATAAAACCTTAAAACTGTAACTATTTTAAAGAAACAATCTGTTCATTCCAAAAAAAAATATTATTTCTATGCATTCAATTAGAAGTAAAATTTGATAATCAGTACTTATTGTAATAAACCTTAAAAGACCTAAAATTCCCTCCGGCGGAAGCACACAACCTAAAGACCAAAAAATACATTAAGCCAAAACATTATTTTTAAGATCGATGTAATTCTTTTAGCAATAAGAATAAGTAGAAAAGTATGTAAATGTATATAATTAGAAATTGTGTAAATAACAACAAACAAAAATATAAAAAAAAAACAAAAAATATAATGAAATCGTATTTTTATTTATAAAAAAAAACCGGGAAATTTTGGGGAGCACTTTGCTTTTTTTTTAGGGCAATTCGCCTATAAATCCAGAAAAACGCCCTAAATTTATGAAAATCTGCCTTTAGTTTCAGGATATTTTTTCATATTTCTAGGGCACTTTGCCCTAAAATCCAGAAAAACACCCTAGATTTATGAAAATCTGCCTTTAGTTTAAAGGTATTTTTTCCGATTTCCAGGGCAATTCGCCTATAAGTCCAGAAAAAGCGCCCTGGATTTAAAGGAAACTGCCTTTAGTTTAAGGGTCTCATTTTCTATTTTTAGGGCAATTAGCTTTGAAAATAGAAAAATCGCCCTAGATCTACGAAAAATCGCCCTAAATGTGTGACAAATTCACCCGTATTTTTAGGGCAATTTGCCCTAATTTTGTTGCCTAGTCGCCATTGACCCCCGTTTTAGGGCGATTTTCCATGTTTTTAGGGCGATTTTACCGGAAAATTTCTATGAGTGCAACGCATTTCCATAATCCAAATCGAAAACAATCTTAAATTAAGTTTTAGGTACTTTGCAAATCTATGAAATATATAAAGAAATAAAATTAGAGGAGAGATTAATTGCTCATAATGTTATTTATTTCTATAAAAAATCTAAAACAACTAATTTCTTTTAAGAATTTATTATTAAACTAATTAAAATTTTGAAACCCTCTTCTTAAACAGAGAAATATTTCCTCTTAGAGGATGACTTTCATCACTACTCCCCTACTTAACCGTAATCTATTCAACCATCATCATCAGCCTCTTATTTTTCAGCAGACTAAAAATTATGTAAATTCAATTTTCAGTTGGCTTCCGCTGTGGCACGCGAATCGAGGAGCGTGCAGCGATGTCGAGGACCCGGCCACACCCATTTCGCCCTGCTGGTAAGTAAACATATTATTATAATTGTTGAGCCCTCTGTTCTGGTGCTTCTGAATCTGGTTTCGCTCCTGGTGGTGGTGACTTTTCATCCTATCCGAGAGGGATTAACCCTCGAGGCGTAAACAAAATTATGTTTTCATTGTTCGCGCACTTGACACGCTTCTATTTTCATTATTTGGTTGGATGTGGTTGAGAATCATCTGAATGTAAAGTTTAGGTGTCGGTTGACTTATAACTTTAACTCAAATATGTTTCAAATTATAAAATTATAAAGGAAGGGTAATCTTTTTCTTATCCACTTAAAAAAATAAAAGGTTCCAATTGAAACAAGAAGTAGTTATTAACAATAAAAACCATATCACTTATTGTTATATATTGAATTCCAATAAATTGTATTTAATTTTACATTTATCCATCAATTCACCACATTTAAGTACCTGTTAACTTCTTACTTTTAATTGGTCATCCGCAACATTAAGGAAAATAACAAAGCTATTAACTGATCAGTCTAGACTTTATTTACTATCGTTTGGTTTGATAATAATTTATATTGATTGCTTTACTTACTTTTCTTTATTACGTTCCTAACTCTTCTTTTTGAGCTCTAACTTTTAACAGAATCTTAACAGAGGTTTGTGTCCAGACTAAGACCTTAACAGTAGACAGGGACAGCACTACAACATAATGCGAACGAAAGAGATGCACAGATGCGGCTGCCTGTGTGCGTGACAGAGAAGACACCATCTCTCAAAAGAGGGGAAATTGGATGTATTTACTTGTCTCTATCTTCATTGGTTGAATACTTTATATAAGCTCAGCTTTATATAAAGTTTGGGTAGCTTTGTTTCTGGGTTCTATCTTTCTCTTTGAGCTTAGATACTTGTAGGTGGTGTTCCCCTGTTCAGGTCAACTTTGCAGTGTGTTTCATTTGGCGCAGATCCATCAACGTCAACGGACGTCCTACAGATTGAGGATGTTCGATGGAAGGCAAACAGGATATCGAATTTAGACGAGAATAACAAATATAACGGATAACAAATGCATTTTCCAAGGAAAACTTTCAAATTAAATGTAGTATTAAATACCTTACGCTTCTGAGCATTCAGTGAAATTTACAAAATGAAAATTAGTTTGAAATTATCAAATTTCGGTTCTCTAAAAACGCTTAGATTGGGTTGTTTGTTAAATTCGTTGAATTCAGAAAATTTTATAAAAGAAATTGCCAGCTTACTAGAAAATCTGGAGATATTTTCCACCAAAAATGATTGAACATGAACGTCCCCCCATATTCATCGAGTGTGCTTTATTGCTCTTTAGTAGAAGAAGTTTAAGGTAGAATCGCGGGAGTTTCAAGGATTAGGGCGACTTGGGCTCCGGTGAAGGATTCGGCTCGACCTTCGCAGCTGGAGTCTCGTCATTGATGGGCTCCGCCATTTTGGTCGAGGTGATGCTCAAGTCACTGGGGGTAAAGGGTATAAAGGAGGCCTTCGCGGACGGTGAGATATAGATGGGCTGATAGATAAAGAGCGATACGCCTTCGCTGACCTTGATGAAGTCCGGCTCCATGGAGCCCAACTCCCGTCTCTCAATCTGAACGGGCTTGGACTCCAGCGTAAAGCGGTGCCGGTAGAAGCTGGACTCGCGTCTTTCGGCCGGAATCATCGACTGGGTCCGGGATTTGGTATCCACCATTCGCAATTGGGAATCCTCCGCCAGCATGCTCAGCGTGGGCGAAAAAATCTGGGACTGGTGCTTCTCACGGACCAGTTCCCGCCAGTCCGTTGCCACCTGTGCATAATTGATAAGGTTAAGCTCCGTAACTAGGATTATTTGTTTTAATATTATAAGCAAACAAACCTGCTTTACATAGGCGAAGTTGCCCTCGTCGGGCATAGCCAAGGCCATTTTTGTATCTTGTATCTCTTTAGGTTCTTTTGGTGGAACCGCTTTTCCCCCTACTTGCAACCCTTTCCCGCTGATTCTTAAAGCATTTTTAGTCAACACTTTTTTTTTTACATTAGATTTTGTATTTTTGACCAGACTAGACCATTTTAAGTGTTAAGTTTTTGGAAAGGTTGTAAAATGATTTGAATTCTGTATGGTTATTAGACATTCGAAGCCTACTAAAGAAAAAACAGAGACAGAGCCAAAAGTGGCTAAAGTCTTTATCCTTTTATATCCTTCTATTCTTCAAAAAAGCAGTGTTTTGCTCGAATCAAAGCCACTAATGGTCTAAGTATTGAACGCCTTACCGCGTTGAGCTCGTAATTAAATTTAAATTTTTTTAATTTTTTAAATATGGTAAAATAATTGTTAGCACTCTTAAAACTACCGTTTTAAAATTTAGGAAACATCGATTGTTTTGGATTAATATCGATAGTATCGCTTGTGATGCCTTTCGCTAGATGTTACCTCTGATTCACGCTAGGTGGCGTCGTATTACTTCTATTTGGGTCTATGTTGGTTAGCTGAGTAACGGGTGGTCGAGGCATTCGACCATAGCTCTCTTGCTTACAGTTACACTTAACCAGTGGCGGATCCAGGATTTTGTTGTGGGGGGTGATATCAGAACAAATTTTTTGTTGCATACTTTTTGAATAACAAAATTTCTTTCATTTTTCACCCGAGTGGGGGGTGATATATCACCCATATCACCCCCCGTGGATCCGCGCATGCACTTAACTAACAATATTTATACATAAGACTGCGATGACATAATTGACAAACTTTAAATGTATAAATTCCATTAATTTAATTTGTTTATTTTATTTTAGGAATGCTTATGAAGGAATGTTTGCTTCAAACCAGGTTCATTGCTGAAAAAAAAGGAAATACAGAAAAGCGATGTGCATTGATCTGGATCTTATAGTTCCGAGACGAATACACCCCTTTCTATTACATTTTATTTTCTGTTTTTTATACATAAAAATAAACAGAAACCATTTAAAAGTGTATTACTTACTGGGTTTTAAATGGTATGTAAATGCAGTTGTAGTTTTGTATAATTTGGAAACAGAGTTGTAGATTTGTAAATGGAGTTGTAAATTTTGGAAATGTAGTTGTAGATTTGTAAATGGAGTTGCAAATTTGGGAAATGGAGTTGTAGATTTGGAAGTGGGGTTGAACATTTAGGAAATGGACTTGTAGATTTGGAAGTGGGGTTATAAATTTTGGAAATGGCGTTGTAGATTTGGAAGTGGTGTTGCAAATTTTGTAAATGGAGTTGTAGATTTAGAAATGGGGTTGTAGATTTGGAAGTGGTATTGAAAATTTATGAAATGGAGTTGTAGATTTGGAAGTGGGGTTGTAAATTTTGGAAATGGCGTTGTAGATTTGGATATGGAGTTGTAGATTTGGAAATGGGGTTGTAGATTTGGTAGTGGTATTGCAAATTTTGTAAATGGAGTTGTAGATTTGAAAATGAAGTTGTAAATTTTGAAAATGGAGTTGCAAATTTTGGAAATGGAGATTTGGAAGTGGTGTTGCAAATTTTGTAAATGGAGTTGTAGATTTAGAAATGGGGTTGTAGATTTGGAAGTGGTGTTAGAAATTTAGGAAATGGAGTTGTAGATTTAGAAATGGGGTTGTAGATTTGGAAGTGGTATTGAAAATTTAGGAAATGGAGTTGTAGGTTTGGAAGTGGGGTTGTAAATTTTGGAAATGGCGTTGTAGATTTGGAAATGGAGTTGTAGATTTAGAAGTGGGGTTGCAACTTTTGGAAATGGAGTTGTAGAATTGGAAATGGAGTTGAAGAATTGGAGGTGGAGTTGTAAACGGAGTTGTAGAATTGGAAGTGGGGTTGCAAATTTTGGAAATGGAGTTGTAGATTTGGAAGTGGAGTTGTAGAATCGGAAGTGGAGTTGTAGAATTGGAAGTGGAGTTGGAGAATTGGAAGTGGAGTTGTAGAATTGGAAGTGAAGTTATAAATGAAGTTGTAGGTTTCCAATCCTCTTTACAACTCCACTTCCAATTCTACAACTCCACTTCCAATTCTACAACTCCGCTTCCAATTCT